GACTATTTGATATGGCAATATAATTGCTGCATGATCGTATCAGCTTCATTGCTAATGAGAACATTCCATTAGAATGAAGAAGCTGACTCTAAGTCTGTCTATTTGCTCCTCCCTCCCAGCCTGCTTTCCTTTTATGAGCCTGTCCGGATCCTGAGATCATAAGCACAGACCCTTCTCTTTATGCTTAACCTCCAGGGAAGGTCCAGGAGTTGGCAATGGGAGAATGGGCTATCTCTGCAGAAGCTCCCTGTCTGCATAATGCTCTCCCCGGGAGACCCACCTGGCGCTACGCCTGTCATCAATTCAGTGCCAGGTGAATATCCATTTGTATTTAATAATAAATAATAATAATAATTTTTTATTTATATCCCGCCCTCCCCAGCCGAAGCCGGGCTCAGGGCGGCTAACAACAATAAAATAATACAACATGCTAAAATCATTTCATTATAAAATTAATTCAAAACAAACTGATGGCAACCATTGGGCTAGAGTTCTGTGAAGATTGCCAAAGGAGGGAGTCAGGCTGTGCCCTGGCCAAAGGCTTGGTGGAACAGCTCTGTCTTGCAGGCCCTGCGGAAAGATGTCAAGTCCCGCAGGGCCCTAGTCTCTTGTGGCAGAGCGTTCCACCAGATCGGAGCCACAGCCGAAAAAGCCCTGGCACTGGTTGAGGCCAGCCTAACCTCTCTGTGGCCTGGGATCTCCCAGATGTTTTTGTTTGAAGATCGTAAGTTCCTCCATGGGACATACCAGGAGAGGCGGTCCCGTAGGTACGAGGGTCCTAGGCTGTATAGGGCTTTAAAGGTTAAAACCAGCACCTTAAACCTGATCCTGTACTCCACCGGGAGCCCGTGCAGCTGGTATAGCATCTGGTGAATGTGATCTCGCAGCGAGGACCCCGTAAGGAGTCTTGCCATGGCATTCTGCACCTGCTGGAGTTTTTTTTAATAACATTCACACAATTTCATTACAAATGACTATAAATCACTTTTTCTTTAGTGGGAAATGATGTATGGATATAATAAACTAAACCTTTAAATTTTATTTAGTTTTTTTATTATTTTTAATACTTTTATTTTGCTTTAAACAAATGCAGATAAACATAAACAACCAAAATCACAAAAGAAAAATCCTTAATAATAATAATGGAAAACACTTTTAAAAAAACTACAAAAAATATCAAAGTACATGGCATAGAACATAAGCCATTATGGGAAAGAAAAAAGAAAAAAGGAAAGGAGGAGGGGGGGGAGAGAAAAAGAAAAAAAGGGGGGAGAGAGAGGAAACAGACAAGCCTTCTTGTGTTTTGGCTCATTTTCCTTTTTATTTACATTTTTATTATTATTTTCCAGAGCTTTGATAACTGCTTTTGCACACATTATTGTTTGAACACAAATAATCAACAACGAAATAATAACCCCACCAGGTGAGGTTTGGAAGACCGCAATAGGATGCCAGCAGCAATTCCCTTACAGTTGTAGCATATTACTTTACTTCCATGTTTGTTTATTTCATTTAAATCCCAACCTTTTTTTTTTTAGCGAGGTCATTTTAATAATACAAAGGACTTCTGAGCAATGAGTTGAAAACAGTGCAATGAGCATGCATGCCTGATATCAACTTGAGCTGCCCGACACCACTGCTGCTTCCTTGCTTACCAGTCTGCTTGCTGTTCTGTCTTCACACTGGAGTTGCACGACAACCTTGCATTTTTATTATATAGTAAAATTTATTTGGCAGATTTGTAAACAGTTTTGCAGCTGGAAGCTATCAAAGGTGTTGAGCTTCGAGAGAAAATGCAATAAAATACAAATACAGTTTTTAGTTATTCATTTGGAAGGTTTATATACCTTACCTGCCCCAAGGTGGTCTACAGCAGGTTGCAGTAACACACACCCCTTCCCAAACTCAAACATACTCAGGACAAACAAAATAAAAAAAATATCCTTCCAGTACGTCTTCTTGGTATCTGAAGAAGTGTGCATGCACACGAAAGCTCATAACAATGACAAACTTAGTTGGTCTCTAAGGTGCTCCTGGAAGGAATTTTTTAATTTTGTTTCGACTACAGCAGACCAACACGGCTATCTACCTGTATACTCAGTACATTTTGTTAAATGTTTATTGGTTGTAGCCTGACTGGAGTGTATTTTTCTATTGTAAATATCAATTTTGAATTTTTTTTAAAGCTATCTTTAAACGCAAACATTTCAGCAAATTGAGGGAGCACGAGGCTTCTGCTTGCAACTGTGTACTTTATTTGGACTGAGAATAAAACTTGTTGTTTAGTCGTTTAGTCGTGTCCGACTCTTTGTGACCCCATGGACCAGAGCACGCCAGGCACTCCTGTCTTCCACTGCCTCCCGCAGTTTGGTCAAACTCATGCTGGTAGCTTCGAGAATACTATCCAACCATCTCGTCCTCTGTCATCCCCTTCTCCTTGTGCCCTCCATCTTTCTCAACATCAGGGTCTTTTCCAGGGAGTCTTCTCTTCTCATGAGGTGGCCAAAGTATTGGAGCCTCAGCTTCAGGATCTGTCCTTCCAGTGAGCACTCAGGGCTGATTTCCTTAAGAATGGATAGGTTTGATCTTCTTGCAGTCCATGGGACGCTCAAGAGTCTCCTCCAGCACCACAATTCAAAAGCATCAATTCTTCGGCAATCAGCCTTCTTTATGGTCTAAGGATAAAACTTAGGAGGGCAATTTAAATTTTGTGAGATTTGCAGCTGCAATTTGAGGCTTGCTTGTTATAGGACTTCTTTGGCCTTCCTAACCAGTCACAATATTGGCTCCCAGTACGTTCCCGAGCACAATTCAAAGTGCTGGTACTGACCTTTAAAGTCCTAAATGGCCTCGGCCCAGTACACCTAAAGGAGCGTCTCCACCCACGTTGTTCAACCCGGACACTGAGGTTCATCTCCAAGAGTCTTCTGCTGGTTCCCTCACTGCAAGAAGTGAGGTTGCTGTGAACCAGGCAGAGGGCCTTCTTGGTGGTCATACCCACCCTGTGAAATGTCCTCCCAGCCTTCAGATATCTTCTAAAAGTCAGATGGTTGTTTGTCTCCTTGACGTTTAGAAGATATCTGAAGGCAAGCTTGTTTAGAGAAGAATACATCACAGGGTTGTCCTAAGCCAGTGTAAAGCCATCTCTCCATCTCTCAGCCTCATCTCCTCCACCCTGCAATATGTGGATAATGAGCTCCATTAGCATTGGAATCCACAGACACACAGGGCTTTCCCAGCGCCTGAAGTGCAATCTCTAACGACAAAATCATATTGCCTGCCAATGTAAATATTTCTGTTCCCGTCTCCCCAAATCCACTGCAGCGCCAAGGACGATATTGGCATACCATGAAGAGAGCCATCATTCCTGTTCTTCACAGAAAAGATAGATGGAGGCATGACATCATCCTCATGAGAGATTATTGGATGAGGAGACACCTCTGTTCATTCCCAGTTACAGACGCTTTTCGAATTTAGGTATTGGTCCCAATGTGCAGATACCATGATATTTTGTGGGCAGATTGTCTTGCTCGATCTCTTTTATTTGTAAGAAGAGTTTGGTTTTGGTTGTCTCTTGAATTTGAGGAGCAAGGCTATCAGTTCTTGGGTTGCCATACGTCTGGAGCCATACCTTAACAGTGTCTGGGTGGAAATCGGCCAAATGTCCAGAAAAATCTGGACATATGGCAGCTCATGTTGGAAATGCCAATTTCCTCTTAAAATAGCTCAAAAATGGCTAAAAAAAAAAAAAAGTTCAGCAACTTTGCCCCCCCAAAAAACAACTCAATAAATTTTCTGTCCAGATTTTCACTGTTTGAAATATGGTGACCCTATGCAGCTAGCCACTATGGATGGACTCTGCCTCCACTGTCAAAGGCAGTAGCCCTTTGAATGCCATTTGCTGGAAATTTGCTGGGCAGAGTGCTCTGGTACCCATGTCTTGCTTGTAGGCTCACCCCAAACATCAGGATGCTAGACTAGATGGACCATTGGCCTGATCCAGCAGGGGACTTCTTATGTTCTATACACCGTGGATTAGCTTTCACCCCATCTGCACCTTACATTTAAAGCAATCGTGATCCAACTTTAACCAGTCCTGGTTCCTGTTAAAGAACCCTGGGGACTTAAGTTTGTTAAGGCTGCTGAGAGTTGTTAGGAAATCCCTTGTTCCCCCTGTACAGAGTTGTATTTCCACACACCAGGAGGTTCTGCTCATTCCTCTGGCACTCAGAGATTTCTTCAGACACTGTCTGCTGGTTTTCAAATACAAATCATAGCCACATGGACTAGACACTTGATTTTATCTCATTTTTAGGGTTCCCTCAAGATGCTAAGGGACGCGGGTGGAACTGTGGGCTAAACCACAGAGCCTAGGACTTGCCGATCAAAAGGTCGGCAGTTCGAATCCCCGCAACGGGGTGAGCTCCCTTTGCTCGGTCCCTGCTCCTGCCAACCTAGCAGTTTGAAAGCACACAGTGCAAGTAGATAAATAGGTACCGCTCTGGCGGGAAGGTAAATGGCATTTCCGTGCACTGCTCTGGTTTGCCAGAAGCGGCTTAGTCATGCTGACCACATGACCCGGAAGCTGTATGCCGGCTCCCTCGGCCAATAAAGTGAGATGAGCGTCGCAACCCCAGAGTCGGCCACGACTGGACCTAATGGTCAGGGGTTCCTTTACCTTTACAAGATGCTAACATAGGTCTGGAGAAACATTGGCCCTTGAGATGCTACAGAATCACATGCCGCAGCATTCCAGGCCATGCTGCAAGGGGTTGATGGAACCTGTCATTCAGCAACAACTGGAGTGCCAATGGTTCCCCTTTAACTCACAAATGCGCGCAGAAAGAAAATGTTGAGGTGCAGCAGATGTAAAAAGGAACACCAGTGTAAAGAATAATAGAACTACAACATACAGTCTTAGCTTAGCATATGATTTTATTGGTTACTGTTGTCCAAATAGGAACCAAAGCAGAAAAGGGATATATATATTTCTTTTTCAGATCACATTTCAGGATGAATAAAAGGCACTGGGATTTCCATTCCAGATGGAGAAAATATCTGATACATTTTTATGCAGGGAGTAAGACATGCAATAGGTTCTGGGGGGAGTTCCGATTCTTTCAGGCAGAGGCGACTCAACAGAACATGTTGGCCCTTCAGACACCAAACAGGTCTTCTTTGGGAGACATGTCTCCTTTACTTCTGCTGGCCTGGCCACTGGGGGGTTTGCTTCGTCTGCTGCTGGCAAGGGGGTGGGACAACCACAGGAGGAATGCATGGAGGTGGGATGACTACGGGAGGTTGTTTTGGGCACTGTGGTGGGACAACCTGAGGAGGGTTGCATGGAGGTGGGGTGACCACAGGAGGTTGCTGTTGGCAGGAGTCCTGTGGTTTGTTGCGGCATCCTCTATCGTTGCGGGAACACATCTTGATATCCGTCAAATTTGGAGTCCTGTGAGAAATGAAGAAATAGCCTTTCAAGAAAGGTCCAGCACAAGCATATCTTTCTTAGTCTTCCACTCAAAGCAGCTCACAATATGGTGGCCTTCCCTCCCTGTAGGAGGCATCTATAATGTTCTGTTTGTGTTAGAAGCTGAAATCGATTTCTAAATGGAGCCAGTGTGGCTTAGTGGTTAAAGCACCAAACTAAGGTCTTGGAGACTTGATTTTAAATCCCTAACCAGCCACCAATCTTACTGGGTGACCTTGAGCCAGTCAAGTCCTCTCAAGCCAACCTACTGCACAGAGTTGTGAAGATAAAATGTGTAGGAGGAAAACTACGTATCTTGAGCTCCTTGGAGGAATGATGATGCAATTCAAATGTAAGTAAATAAATACATATTTTAACTGTTGTGGGTCTCACTCAGTGTACACCCAACGTACACTGGATATCAAATTTTGTAAAACAGGAACATATAAACAGGAACAAAAACCATTAGTCAATCTAGCATCTCCTGATGGATTTGGGATTATCCCCTTTCTGATCCCTGGCAAACCACTGCCAATCAAGGCTAACAATTCTAATCCAGACTAGTCAGTGGTACGTGACTCAGCATAAGGCAGCTTTCTGTTCTCCTAGTAGCTGAGGCCAACGTGTACCTATATTGAGGTTCAGAATAGGGGAAACCATCACCCCCTTTGTTGCTCCTTGACTGAACATACAGTATGCTCATCTGGCAAAGCAAGTGATCTAGACTAAAGGAGCTCTTGCCTTAGGTGACAATGCTCCCTAATCTCTTTAAGGGAGAAAATATGCCTTGGACTCTAGTGCCATCAGGACTAGCCTATCCATGAACATAGGAAGTGGCCACATGCTGAATCAGATCATTGAGCCATTTCTACATTGTCTAAACAGTGATTGGCAGTGGCTTTCCAGGGGGTGATTTCAGCCCTACCTGGAGATGTTGGGAGCTGAAACTAGGGCCTTTTGTATGCAAAGTAGATGTTCTACTACTGAGTTAAGAACATAGTCAGAGATTCTCTTGACTTCTCCGTTCACCAATGCCTACAGTCTGTCAATTATTTGCTAGAAGATTTCACTTAAAATCTCTGCCCAGAGATGGTTTTCAAAGCCCATGCTAGTTTTACTCAGAGGATACCCATGGGGACAATAGACATGGCTAACAAAGGTTCATTCGTTTCACTGTGTCTATTCTAAGTAGAATGTAGTTAGATGCAACCCAAGGACACCTAATCTGGAAACAAGGTTATCCTCATACATCTTGAATATTCAAAGTTCAGACCTCCCACAAATACAATCAATAGAGCGGGTGGTATCTCCAGACTTACCCCAAATGCCAACTGGAAAAACTGCAGTAGTGAAGATCCGAAGTCTATGTCTGGATCCTTGGAGGGTGAGACCTTTTATACGGTCCCCTTGCCTTACTTCTGGAAATGAATTTCCCCTCTTGAGTAATATTGCCCTTCAAGCCATGAGCAAATCTTCGATGGATGGGCCCCACCCCTTGGAAAAGTGTCACCAGGAAATAATATGATCATGTATGCAATACAGCAGGCGCCGGATCACGTTCCAGGGGGTGATTCTGTGCCGTGTAACTTAATTAATTGCCTTTGTCGGAAACCTGCAGATCAACAAACATTGGGCAACTTTTGGAATAAATAAATACAATGCCTGGCAGGAGAAACCTATCACAGGACGTCTTCCTGGATTATTTGAAGACAGATCATGGGGAAGATAACAGTCACTGATAAAGAAAGGCAATATCCGGTAGGATAATCACTTTGGGTGATGTTTTACTGTATGTTTAGAAGACACATCATGGAGATAATTGTTTCTTTCAGTGTTTCCACACAGTGTTTGCCTTAGAACTATGGTTGATATTTTACAGGGACAGTCCTGGATTTGCAGAAGCCGTCCCGGTTTCTGATTTGATCCCGGAATGTCCCACTTTTCCTTGGGACATTCCTATTTTCCTTGGAGAAATGTTGGAGAAGATGGAATAGGATGTCCCTGTTTTCATCAGAGAAATGTTGGAGGGCATGCTGCTAGAGTCCATGATGGTGCAGGAGCCTCTCAATTCCCGGAATAGGGACACATCTGACACCAAAGAACACTAACACTTACACAGTGCGTTCTGGGTGTAAGAGTCAACAAAGGGTTTTTAGCCATTGTTTTTATTTCTGCTTCATTGCACATATATCAAAATGTGTATTTCAGCTTTTTGTTTCTGAAGCGAGACCCCACAATGCCTTTGGAATGATGGGTAGGTGGGGTTGGTGAGCAGCACAAGTGCAGGGAGTAGAGACCCTAGTGCATTTAAAGCACTATGATGCCATGGCTTCCCTCAAAGTATCTTGGGAGATGTAGTTTCTTAAGGGAGCTGAGACCCCGATTCCTCCTAAACAGCAACAATTTTCAGAGTAGTTGAACAATCAATCCCTCTTCCCAGGGAAACATAGGAACTGTAACACTGGAAGGGGGAGAGGGTATCCTTCTGATAACTCTCATCACTCTGAATGGACCACAGTGCCTATCTCTGTGGACACACAGAGCGTTGCCCTCGTGCAGTTAATGGCTCCTTGCCGGGAGTTCCTGGGCATTCTGTCCACGTTGCGAGGTGGGCAGTCCTCCCCTCCAATTCCAGGATTGGGACTCGTTCTTCCTGGCAACAGCACAGTGATCGGGGAGTGGGGACAGGCCGCCAGTCATTCAAGAGCACTCAGTCTCTCCCATCCATGCCTCCCCACATTCCATCTGACCGCAACCTCAGATCAGACGCAGCAACCCGCTGAATTTAAGCATATTAGTCAGAGGAGGAAAAGAAACTAGCCAGGATTCCCTCGGTGGTGGCGGTGGCGGAAGGGAAAGTTTCAACTTTTAAAGAAGAAGAAGAAGAAGAAGAAGAAGAAGAAGAAGAAGAAGAAGAAGAAGAAGAGAAGGAGGAGGAGTTTGGATTTGATATCCCACCTTTCACTCCCTTTAAGGAGTCTCAAAGCAGCTAACATTCTCCTTTCCCTTCCTCCCCGACAACAAACACTCTGTGAGGTGAGTGGGGCTGAGAGACTTCAGAGAAGTGTGACTGGCCCAAGGTCACCCAGCAGCTGCATGTGGAGGAGCGGAGACACGAACCCAGTTCCCCAGATTATGAGTCTACCGCTCTTAACCATAATGGTTTAAGTGCATGGTGTGGCATTGGCCAGATCCTTATTAATTGATTAATTAATTTCACAATCTTTATACAACACTTTTTGTAAAAAAAATGATATTTATTAAAGTTTCAAAGAAAGAATTACATAGATAAAAAGAGAGAAAGAAAAAAAGGAAAAAGAAACAAAAAGGAAAAAAATACAAAATACAAAAAAAAGATAAAAAACACTTAAAAAACACATCAGTCTTTCCATGCCTTACATTTCATTTCCTTACTTCCCTGACCTCCTCACACCTCCCTTTTTTGTATTCCAGTTCTGTTAGTTAATTCAGCTGTTCCTTTCCCTCTTTGTTTTTGTCTTAATCCTTTAACTTAATATATTATAACTTTGGATTTTCGCCTGTTAACAATCCATTTTTACATACACCTTTATAACATTGCTGCTAAAACCACTTAACTTCATTCTGACATCATTCTAACATTCATTAATTTTGCAGTATTTCTGTAAATAGTCTTTAAATTTCTTCCAGTCTTCTTCCACCGACTCTTCTCCCTGATCTTGGATTCTGCCAGTCATTTCCGCCAGTTCCATATAGTCCATCACCTTCATCTGCCATTCTTCCAGAGTGGGTAAATCTTGTGTCTTCCAATACTTTGCAGTAAGTATTCTTGCTGCTGTTGTGGCATACATAAAGAAAGTTCTGTCCTTCTTTGGCACCAATTGGCCGACCATGCCCAGGAGAAAGGCCTCTGGTTTCTTCAGGAAGGTATATTTATATACCTTTTTCATTTCATTATAGATCATCTCCCAGGAAGCCTTAATCCTTGGGCATGTCCACCAAAGGTGAAAGAATGTACCTTCAGTTTCTTTACATTTCCAACATTTATTATCGGACAATCTTTATACAACACTTGATGGTAAAAAACAAGCAAACAAAGCATTGTACGGAAAAGATAAAGCAATAAAATCATCAATAGGAACCAACCCCCAAAGTAATAGTAATTTAAGACTGTCAAAAAGTGAAAATAACATTAGTCTAAAACAAGCATCCATAGGAGAACAATGGTCAGAGAGAGTGTGTTTAGCTGAACTGAAAGCAGGTTGGAAGCTGGAGGCACAGAGACATGCTTGATCCAAAGCTACAGTGGTACCTCAAGTTAAGTACTTAATTCGTTCCGGAGGTCCGTTCTTAACCTGAAACTGTGCTTAACCTGAAGCACCACTTTAGCTAATGGGGCCTCCTCCTGCTGCTGCGCCGCTGGAGCATGATTTCTGTTCTCATCCTGAAGCAAAGTTCTTAACCCAAGGTACTATTTCTGTGTTAGCGGCATATGTAACCTGAAGCGTATGTAACCCAAGGTACCACTGTAATGTGAAGCAAGCTTTTGTGGGGTGTTAATGCTGTGAGCCCCTTCATCCTATGCTCCAGTTATGTACATGTGTAAACACCCCAGTCACCACTGAAGTTCATTCCAAGGAAACTGAACCTGGGTAAGCACCTAGAACCACGAGATTCTCTTACCACTTGCAGATTGGGATGCTTTGTGACACTATATATCAAGTGAGAATGGCCATAGTCAAGAAGCATTTCTTCAACATATGATGAAAACTATACAATGAAGGCACCAGAGGCACCTCTGTGGGAAAGGAATTCCACAACTTAAAGGCTGCCACAGAGAATGCCCTTCCCTGGGTCACACATCCCCAACTCCTGAGGGTGGTAGAGCTACCACAACAGGCCCTCCTCTGCTGATCTGAACACCTGAGACTGTTTCTATGGAAGGGAGTGGTCTTTCTGGGGCCTAAGTCATTTGTGGCTTTAAACAGGAATGTGAACTCTTTGAGTAGGACCTGGAAACAAGCTGAAAGCCAATGCAGCTGCTGGTCCTAAAACTACAAAAAGAACACAGCCCCATTAAGATCTCCTGAAATGTCTTCTTGCTGGTGTTTATGTGGTAAATGCAGTGGAATTCTAAAAATGCAGTGTAATTGCTTTTGCATTAACAGAAGCTTCTTCATTGGGGATCACCTCGCAAAGAAACTGAATCCCAACTGAGGGCATTCAGAGTGTGATATGCTTGTAGATTAATTTTGCCCTGAGAAAACGCCTTGCATTCCATGCCAGTTCACAAGTCAGTGCATGAACTGTGTGCGAGTAGTTTGCATGGGGAAAGTAACGAAGGAAAATAGGAAACTGCCTTCTACCTAGTTTCCGCCTCACAGAGGTACAATTCCGGAGCCCCTTAACAAACTACAGCCTCCATTATTCTTTAGAGAAAGTCGTATATTTTAAAGATACTATACAGATCTCCCCACACTCAGACCAATTGATCCACCTAGTTCAGGACTGTACAGACTGATCAGCAGCCCTTAGCCAGGATTTCAGACAGAAATTTATGGAGACCTGGAGATTCTTTTTTTAATAATAATAATAATAATAATAATAATAATAATAATAATAATTTATTATTAGTTTTTACACATATTTTCCAGCATAACATCCTTTCAAACATCATTTCAAAATTTTTGGCTATCACCGCCTAAGACTTCCTTCAACCTCAACTGATGGTTTTCTAAAGTCTTTCTAATTACCGGTATGCATTTTGTTACTATAATTCTTGCTATGAACTCAAATTTCCAATACATCTATTCTTAATTCTTTCCACAATAATTTATAAATTACTGAGACCTGGAGGTTCTAGGGCAGGAAATCATCTAAAACATGCAGAGCATCTGTAAACATCTAAACATCTGAAATGCCACCCACCCTCTTTTAAACACTGCTTCAGTCATGTTTAATCAAGCCATTGTGAAGCCATCTCTTTATCACTGAGCCTCATCTCCTCCATCCTGCAATAGGTGGACAATGAAGTCCATTAGCATTGGAATCCACATACACTCAGCAGCAGCAGAAGTAGTCCTGTGCAATCTCTAATGATAAAATCATATTTCCTGCCAATGCAAATTCTGTTTTGTTTTGTTTATGTCTCCCCAAATCCCTTGCAGCAGCAAGGAGGATATTGGAATACAACGAAGAGAATCGTCATTCATTCCCTTCACAGGTATAACAGGAAATACAGGTAGAGGCATGACATCATCCTTATGAGATATTATGGGATGAGGAGACCTCAGTTCATTTTCATGCAGAGAGAATGTTGAGGTGAAACTGGAGGTGTTGGGTTTAACCCAACATCCTATGCCCTTTTAAAATGTGTCTTTGGGGGGGGCTATTGGGAGTTGCTTTTATTTTTATTATGTATTTTGTGGTTTTATATCTTGATTTTATTCTGTGAACCGTGCTGAGACCCCTGGGTGTAGTGTGGTACAGTGGTACCTCAGGTTAAGTACTTATTTCGTTCTGGAGGTCCGTTCTTAACCTGAAACTGTTCTTAACCTGAAGCACCACTTTAGCTAATGGGGCCTCCTGCTGCTGCCGCGCCGCAGGAGCACGATTTCTGTTCTCATCCTGAAACAAAGTTCTTAACCTGAAGCACTATTTCTGGGTTAGCGGAGTCTTTAACCTGAAGCGTATGTAACCTGAAGCATATGTAACCTGAGGTACCACTGTATATAAGGCAGCTAAGAAGTTGTCTTGCCAAAGGCAAGGTGGCTCTCTTAAAACGAGTTTCAGAAGCAATAGAAAATACTGAAAATGAGTGAGAAAATTAATGATTTTATTCTAAAACAGCCCTGAGTGCTCACTGGGAGGACAGATCATGAAGCTGAGGCTCCAATACTTTGGCCAACTCATGAGAAGAGAAGACTCCCTGGAAAAGACCCTGATGTTGGGAAAGATGGAGGGCACAAGGAGAAGGGGACGACAGAGGATGAGATGGTTGGATAGTGTTCTCGAAGCTACCAGCATGAGTTTGACCAAACTGCGGGAGGCAGTGGAAGACAGGAGTGCCTGGCGTGCTCTGGTCCAGGGGGTCACGAAGAGTCAGACACGACTAAACGACTAAACAACAACATTCTAAAACAGCCAGCAATGCATTGAATTGAACTGAACTGAATTTATTACTGTCCCAGACCAGACTCACATACCGTACCAAATAAATCAGAAACACAATAAAATGAAGTTTGAATTAACAATCAATATAACGATAAACAATACAGTTATAGCAGCAGTTGAAATATAGTTTAAGTCTTAATCTCTACAATATTATCTATAATTTGCTTCTAAGTCCTTAGTCTTTATAGTAGCACAGCTTGGGCTGCGAGCCCCACAACCCATCCCCCATGGAAATAAAGACACAGTGGAGACAGAATTCAGTTTAAATGTTAATGGGCAAATTTTGGCCACAACTTTATTAAAATACACAAATGTGACTGGTATTGATGTAGGCATTGGTATCAAACTATATCTGGCTTCTGCCACACCCTGCAGGAAGCCTGGAAGGGTAAACAACCAGCAGGGGGAATTCCATCAATGTATATAGACTGGTGCTCACCCATGGGGTTCCCAGGGGTCCTGGAATGGCCCTAGCCCCTCTCTGGGCTTCGGACGAGATCCAGACCCCTGGATTCCTTTAACAGAATACCCTGTTCATTGGAGGGGCAGGAGATGGCTGCAACTCCCCTCCCCACATTCCCCTAAACCAATGGTTGTGACGATTGCTAAGAGGTAGGCAAAAACCAAGTGGCCACATTGGAAAGAATTCCTACCCGGCCCCCATTCCAAAACAGGTGACCAACCGAAGTCCAAAGCAAGGCCAAACACGACCTAATTAATGGGTGGGCGGGTGTTCGGCAATGTGAAGCAAAAGAAGGTCCCTACGTCGCGCTGCCAAATAAATACCCCCAACCTTGCCACGCTGCTGATTGACTAAAGGCCATTGGCATAACTGTGGCACCCCACTTCTTTCAGCCATCTTTTAATCATGTATTCATCTACACACTTCCATTCCTGTTTGAGATTTTGGTTAGATTGCATTCTAATTGTTGCCGTCATTTTTGCTAATTCAATCATTTCAAAAACAATATGTTGACAATCTGCCACTGATGGTACTTCTTCTGATTCGCAGTTTTTAGCAACCAATAACCTAGCGGCGGCTGTTGCATGTAGGAAAACTCTCTTCATGTACCAAAGAGTTTTTAAATGATTTTTTAAAGCCTGAATTTTAGTCTCTCCCAAACAAAGTCCTTTTGTTCTCTTATTCTGAGTTATAGGGAGAATTATCCCTCCTCCTTCCCATGAAGCCAGGCATTTTTTTCTTCTTCTGTTGGCCATTTCTGAGGTATTTTTCCTGCTATGACTTTGATTCTTTTGGGCATTAAAAAATTATTTTTACAATGGATATTCAAAATCCCATCGCTGCTCATAGCCCCAGACTGCATAGACTCACAGACAGTAACTTTAGCCAATGGAGTCATTTCTTGCACCAGACAGGAACAGCCTAGTGATGATGAAGCATTAATATGCAAATGGGAGCAGCAGGATGACTCAGCTGCTATTATGGATAGACTTTCAGACTCTCGGCTACTTCAAACCAACAATTGTGACACAGCTGCTCAGATGACGGACAGTTTACAGAAAGCCTTTGGATTTACAATTAAGTGTTTTCATTGACTATTCAGAATAAAGCTTGAGTCCAAGAAAGACTGCAACCACTGTGTGACACAGTTCCTAGCTATTATTGAGAATCTGGAACTAGCAAATTTTTCACTTGTTGATGAACTGAAAGTTTGCAATTTTGGGGGTCACTTGGACTGAAGTTTGAGACATTTGCCTCTCTCATGGCAACAGCCTATAGGCCCACATTTTACTTTGTTGCCTATTTTGTGATTTTACCAGTAAGTTCCCCCTGAGTTTCTCTCACCAAAGAGTACATGCCCCAAACCTAGGGTTTGCCATATTTTGAAGTGCAAAAAAGAGGATGCTATAACAGCTATTCAAAGCAGATAAATGCAATTTGTCTCAAATTTTACACCTGAGAAAGAGGAAGCGTCCTCAAAAAAGAGGATACATGTCAACCCTACACCTGACATCCTGGGAATTCTCTTTTTTTATATATTTTTGCACCTGGGAAAACCCTTTAAGCCACAAATGCACAAATAAAATGAAATGTCGAGGTAATGGAGATGCTGGATTTAAGCACAAATGTGAAAAGGGACAGCAGTGTGCCCAGAAAGCACATTTGGGTAGGTTTGCCATATGTCTGGGTTTCCCCAGACATTAGTGGGATTTCAGTGGTGGAAGTGATGTCCTGGTGGAATTTCCCAAAAGCAGCAGTTTGTCCTGGATTGTTGGCAACATAACCAAAAAATTGAGGGTTTTGTGCATTTGGGGATCTTCTTTAAAAAGCTCGACAAACTTTTTTATATATAAAAAAAGTTCTACAATTTGTTTGTGTCTGGATTTTCATACCCTCCAACATTTCCCCGGTAAAAATAGAGATGTCCCATTCCATAATGCTAACTTTGCTATTTACACCCCACACATCTTACTGGGTTGCCCCAGCCACTCTGGGGGGCAGCTTTTAACATATAATAAGAACATAAGAAAACATTATTATTATTATTATTATTATTATTATTATTATTATTATTATTTCCAGAATTGCCTTCAGATAGCTCAGGGGATAATAACTCCATGCCCTTCAACATTTCTCCAATGAAAATAGGGATATCCTAAGGAAAAGTGGACATTCCAGGATCAAATTAGAAACTGGGATGGCTTCTCTAAATCAGAGATGTCGCTGGAAAATAGGGACACTTGGATGGTAACCCTGTAAAACTGTAGCAAACCGTTAATATTTTACACATTACATACTAAGGGGAGTAAAAGGCCAGAGTATTTCTGTGCCATTGAGAAAAGATGATTTCTGTTTGAGGAAGATGTGTATCAATATTTTTCTTTCTTGTAACCAATCACAGCTAAGAAGCCAATATTGTCCTTTCACCCACTAAACACATTGTTTAAAGTCCTTATGGACTGGAAACATTACTTTCTCTTTAAAACAAAAAAGAGTTCAAGGTTATCAATAGGCTAGCTCATTAAGCCACAAATATACAAAAGAAACAGTGCATGGTGTCTTATTTTTGCATATGATTTTAATTATTACTGTTGCCCAAATAGAGGCCAAAACACAAAACAGTTAACTTTCCTCCCCAAATTATGTTTCTGGGTGGAGAAAAGACACTGGAATTTCAGTGCTAGACAGAGAAAATATTTGAAACAATTTTATGTAGAGAGAAAAGCATTCAATAAGCTATCCCTCATCCTTCATCCGCTTCTTTTAGCCAATGATGACTCAGAACAGAAGATGGTGACCCTTCAGCCAACAAACACATCTTCCTCAGGAGTCTCATGTTCTCTACTTCTGCTGCTGCGGCCACTGGGGGGTTTGCTTCGTCTGTTGCTGGCAAGAGGGTGGGATGACCACAGGAGGGATGCATGGAGGTGGGACGACCACGGGAGGTTGTTTGGGGCACTGGGCTGGGATGACCACAGGAGGAATGCATGGAGCTGGGATGACCACGGGAGGTTGTTGTTGGCAGCCTCTGTCCTCATGGCAGGAACTTCCACCCCTGTGGCAGGAGTCCTGTGGTTTGTCGTGGCAGGAGTCCTGTGGTTTGTTGTGGCATCCTCTATCGTTGCGGGAGCACATCTTGATATCAGTCAAATCTGGAGTCCTGTGGGAAATGAAGAAACAGCCTTTCAGAGAAGGTCCAGCAGAAACATACCTTTCTTAGTCTTCCACTCAAAGCAGCTCACATTATAGTGACCTTCCCTTCCTGTAGGAGGCATCTATAATGTTCTGTCTGTGTTAGAAAATGATATCCATTCCTAAATGGAGCTGGTGTGGTATAGTGGTTAGAGTGCTGGACTAGGACCTGGGAGACTCAGATTTGAATACCTGCTCACCTATGGAGCCCACTGAGTGACCTCCGGCTAGTCCCACACTCTCAGCCTACAGAGTGGTTGTGAAGATAAGACGGGGAGCAGAAATATGCACACCACCTTGAGCTCCTTGGAGGAAAAGTGGTGGGATACAAATGTTAAGTAAATAAATCAACATTTTAACTGTGTGGGGCTCACCCAACGTATCCCAGGTTTGTATCATTCTACTCATCCTGCAAAGCAAGTAATCCAGACTAAAGAAACTCCTGTCTTAGTTGACAATGCTCCCTAATATCTTTAAGGAAGAACATATACCTTGAACCCTAGTTCTTTCAGGGCTAGTTTCAGACAGGAGGCCATTTCATCTGTACCTTGAGTTGCTGGGAATTTACCTTGAGCTGCTCAAATTGTTTAATTCGGTTTTTGAATCATTGGCTCTGTTTTCAATTGGATTGTAATTTGGTATTGTGACAATGCAGCTTTTATTGGATTTGTATTAAAATTAATAAAAAAATATTATTAAAAAAAGAGATGCTGGGAGTTGAGTGTGGGACCTTCTGCAGGCAAAGCAGATGTTCTACCACCGAGCTGTGACTCTTCATATGTCCCTGTGTGTGCCACTCAAACGGTTGGCTAGATGCATTCTCTTTGTGATAACTCAGCTCTAACTTAGTCAAAGATTCTTTTGATTCCTTAGTTCATCAATGCCTACAGTTTGTTGGTTACAAATATTTGTACCCAATGCCAATCCTTCTCAATGTAGAGCCAGTGAAGTCAATAGATATGGCTAATAAAGGTTCATTCATTTCATTGTGTCTATTCTAAGTCGAATGCAACCCAAAGACACCTAATCAGGAAACTAGGTTATCCCCATGCATCTTGAATAATCAACGTTCAAACCTCCCACAAATACAATCAATAGAGCAGGTGTTATCTCCAGACTTACCTCAAATGCCAACTGGAAAAGCTGCAGTAGCGAAGATCAGAAGTGTATGTCTGGATCCTTGGAGGGTGAGACCTTTTATACGGTCCCCTTGCCTTACTTCTGGGAATGAAATCCCTCTCTTGAGCAAGTGTGAGCAATATCATCCTTCAAGCCATGAGCAACTCTTCGATGGATGGGCCCCACCCTTTGGAAAAGTGTCACCAGGAAATAATGGGATCACTTTTGTAATACTGCAGGCACCTGACCATGTTCTGGGGCTGATTCTGTGCTGTGTAACGTAATTAATTGCCTTTGCTGGAAACCTGCAGATCAACAAACATTGGGCAACTTTTGGGAGAAAGAATGGCAGCGTCCAGTAGGACAGCCCTTTTGAACAATGTCTTTCTGGATGCCTTTAAGACACATCATGGGGAAGGTGATTCTATCCAACGTTTCCACACACCTTCCATTTTAGAACTATGTGTGACTAAACCATTTGGCTACAACCCCTAGCAGGCCCACAGGCCTAAATCTAGAGTGTGGGTGCTAGAATCTTTGATGGTCCAGGAAACTGTAAAACCATGAAATATGGACCCCCTTGCTGTCGGAATTAGGTAGCTGTGAAGGTACAGCAGTGCGGAGAGACTGTGTGTAAGAGTCAACAAAGGGATTTAACTTACCATTTTTATCTCTGCTTTATTGTTTATATCAGGGATTGTCAACCTGGTCCCTACCTCCTACTAGTGGAGGTTTCAGGATTCTAGGTGGGCAGTAGGGGGTTCTATGACACAAACTGAATCCTCCTTCCACCGAGCACTGGGGGCAGAAAGGAAATTTTACCATCAAGAAAGATGCATTAGTGGGCGGTAGGTATAAATAGGTTGACTACCGCTGGTGTATATGCTGAAATGTTGTATTTTAACTTGCACAGTATGTTGTGTAGCAACACACTATGATGCCATTGGGATGATAGGTGGCTAAGAAATGTAATAAATAATGGAGAGTAATTAATGAGCAATATGAGCCAGGGGGGCAGCCCCTTGTACATTTAGAGCAATATATTGCCATTTTAAACAGGCATGGCTTTCCCCCAAATAATTCTGGGAAATGTGGTTTGTTCAAGGTGCTGAGAGTTGTTAGGAGACGCCTATTCCCCTCACAGAGCTACTATTAACAGAGTAGTTTAACAATCAATCCCTTTTCACAGGGAACCTGGACCTTTGTACAGAAAGGCTCTCAGACTGATGGGTTAGTATGTCTAGCTATTGACACGAAGGTTGGTGGTTTGAGTCCATCCAGGGATGGCTGTGAGATTCCTGCGTTGTAGGGGGTTGGACTAGATGACCCCCCAGGTCCATTCCAACTCTACAATTTTATGTTCAAGCACGAGTTCTTTAATTTACAGGGTTGCGTCCCACTAAAGCTACATTCACATTTGATAAGGATGTTGGGAATTGTAGCTCAGTGAGGGGGAAAATTCAGTTCCTATGATTCTTTGGGGAAAGACATGTGCTTTAATAGGACTGCCATTAGCAGGATTTGGCTCCCCGCCCCTGAAAAAAGGTCAACAATTTGTTTGTGTCCGAATTTTCACTTCTTGAAATATGGCAACCCTAGCTTTAAAAACATGTTGGATGAGCTTTCAATGTATGATGATCATTCCTTTATTTCCCTACAATTGACTATGGGGGAAGAGAGGGGGAGGGAGGGAGGGAGAGAACAAGCTTTTGGCGGAAGTGGGTGACATTTGCAAATTCTACTTTGGGACTATTCTCCATTCTTCTCCAAAAGATGACTTTTAAGAATCCAGTAAGAAGACCCTGAAAAGGATTGTTCTGTTGGACCACACCTTTCATTATCCCCACAGATTGATCAATGTGTGTGATTGTTGATACATAGGACTTCTAAGGGCAATTACATTACGCAGTGCAGAATCAGACCCTGACTTGTCATGAGTTGCACGCTGCATTGCAAAAGTAATCTCACTATGTTCCGGTGATACCTTTTCCCTGGGGTGGGGCCCATCCAGTAACACATACAAATCATCACATGAAAGTCCAGCTTGGCTCACTCTTGCCCAAGAGAGGAATTTCATTTCCGGAAGGCAGGTGAGGGACTGTATAAAAAGTATCTCACCTCAAGGATCCAGACAAGACTCCGGTGATCATTCCTATTCTAAGGATTCCAGTTTACATTTTCAGTAAGTTTGGGGATTCTACCTGTTCTGTGGATAGAATTGGAGGGCAGGGGTTGGAACTGATCTTCTGAAATTGAGGGATGGGGTGATTTATGTCAAGGGAAGCCATCTTGGTGTCCCCCAGATGACAATGGACAACAACTCCCATCATTCCTGTTCATTAGATGAGCCGCCAGCTGGGGCTGGTGGGAGTTGTAGTCCAATGTTCCGGAAAGCACCACTTTGTCCGTCCTTGGAGCTGTGCAACTCTGAGTCCCTTTAAAGGGGAACGTTGTGAACCTAAGCCAAGGGTAGCCAAGGTGGTATCTTCTAGATGTTTCAGACTACAAATTCCACCAGCCTCAGATAGCATAGCCACTGATCCAGGAAGATGAGTCTATAAGAGCTAGAGGATATTTTTCAAACTGTGTTTTTGTTGAACCTTCTTGTGAGATATTTTTTCTAGTTCACTTGAATAATGTTCTTTGCCTAAAATGTCTAGAAGGTTTGAGAAGCCACCCTAATCTACTTAAAATGTGAAGACTTAAGAAACAGACATTTGCATTGGACCTTTGCTCCATAGGACTCCAGATCTGACCGACATCAATATGTGCTCCATTTAGGAATGGATTTCATTTTGTAACACAGACAGAACATGATAGCTACCACTCACGGGAAACAAAGGCTGCTAAATAGTACACTGCTTAGAGTGAAGGAATAAGGAAGGTATGCTCCTACTGGACCTTCTCTAAAAGGTTGTCTCTTCATTTCTTACAGGACTCCAGATTTGACCAATATCAAGATGTGCTCCCGCAACGATAGAGGATGCCACAACAAACCACAGGACTCCTGCCACAACAAACCACAGGACTCCTGCCACAGGGGTGGAAGTTCCTGCCATGAGGACAGAGGCTGCCAACAACAACCTCCCGTGGTCATCCCAGCTCCATGCATTCCTCCCGTGGTCATCCCAGCTCAGTGCCCCAAACAACCTCCCGTGGTCGTCCCACCTCCATGCATACCTCCTGTGGTCATCCCACCCCCTTGCCAACAGCAGACGAAGCAAACCCCTCAGTGGCCACAGCAGCAGAAGTAGAGAACATGAGACTCCTGAGGAAGATGCGTTTGTTGGCTGAAGGGTCACCATCTTCTGTTCTGAGTCATCATTGGCCAAAAGAAGCGGATGAAGGATGAGGGATAGCTTATTGAATGCTTTTCTCTTTACATAAAATTGTTTCAAATATTTTCTCTGTCTAGCATTGAAATTCCAGTATCTTTTCCCCACCAAGAAACATAATTTGGGGAGGAAATTGTTTTCTGTTTTGGCCTCTGTTTTGGCAACAGTAATAATTAAAATCATATACAAAAATAAGACATGGTGCACTGTTTTCTTTATATATCTGTAGCCTAAAGGGCAGGCCTGTTGAGATCCTTGAGCTCTTCTTTGTTTTGATGAGAAAAACAGGTTTCCAGTCCACAAAGACATTAGGTGTTTGGTCATCAAAGGGCAAGATTGAAGGAAGGAAGTAAAAGAAACCTTGATGAACGTCTTCTTCCTTAAACAAAAACAATCTTCTCTGATTGGTACTGAGATACTGTTACCTTTTACTGACCTTGACATGTCATGTATAAAATATTAACTGTTTGCTGCAGTTATGTTACATACTTAACATTTCACATGCATTTTCTGGGCACATTGGAGTTTCTTTTTACAACTGTGGTTGTGAGGGTTGAATTTGGGGTAATAGGAAAAAAATCTGCCAAGGGGATTTAACTGGCTGCACCAGTCCTAACCAGCTGCTGCAGCTGTAGACACAGCTGTTGGTGGAAGGAATAAGGTGCTTCAGAATAACAAAGGCATCAAAAAGGTGAAAATAGGCTTCATCAAAATTCAGGCTCAGGAGTTGGAGGGGAGATGGTCTGGGTGTGTCACATGAGGTTCCAGGACTTGGAGAAGATCATGTGTCACTTTGTCACATGAGATTCCTGGCAGACGCGCCAAAGGCTGTATCAACGCAGGTTGGGTGTGGAGGTTGCCAGGCAGTCCTTTTTGGCACACCCAAAAGTGCGTGGGCCATGGAAAAAGCATGCCACTGTGCTGAGGCCAGGGTGGGGTAGGAAGGGAGGCAAGAAGAAACTGTGAACCCCTCCCTCTCGCTCAGTACTAGAAATGCAGGCAGCTGGGTGTCAGGAGATCCAGAGCAGACAAAATTCAGATTCAAGGCCTTCGACTGATTGTTGATGTCTCACCAATCAGTCGATGTCTCACCTTAGCTATCAATGCTATCAGTCGAGGTGTTTAGTTAAAGCATTGATTTTAATTTTTATGTTATGCAAAAACTAGTCATTAAGACTACAGTCTTATGCCTACTTACTAAAGTCTTAGAGCAGTAGTTCTCAAAGTGGGTGGCACTGCTTTTTTGGGTGGGGCAGTGGGATTACACTAAGAGGCAAGGGGGAAGCAGAGGAGGAGGGAAACTGGAGGTTTTATTTATTTTCCATTCTTTATAATCACACTTTCATCCAGGGATGTCGAATAACTTACAGAAAAAGAATTCAGTCGAAAATCTAACAATAACATGCATCAAAATCATCCTCCTATTCGTTATGCGTAACCGTATACAGTGGTACCTCGGGTTACATATGTTTCAGGTTATATACACTTCAGGTTACAGACTCCGCTAACCCAGAAATAGGACCTCAGGTTAAGAAGTTTGCTTCAGGATGAGAACAGAAATCGTGCTCCGGCGGCGCGGCAGCAGCGGGAGGCCCCATTAGCTAAAGTGGTGCTTCAGCTTAAGAACAGTTTCAGGTTAAGAACGGACCTCCGGAACGAATTAAGTTCTTAACCCGAGGTACCACTGTATACTTTTGTCCCTACTCATTTATCCTAATTTTTCCCCTCCCTCCCTCCCCTTTAACCCCCTGCCCAAAATGTCCTCTCTTCCAATCTTTAACCATGTGCACAGATTATTCATTCTAATTTGATGCTTGGGTTGGCTTCCCCCTGTGCTATCCAATTCCTATAACTAGTCCATTTATTCAAAATCTTTTGACATTTGTTTTCCCATGTATCTTCCGTCATTACCTGTTCAAATATATCAGACTGTATGTATTCAAAAAACTGGAGGTGTTAATGACTGAAAGGCTGGCATCACTGTATCAAGTTAATCATTTTCTTCTGAATTAATTAAACTAAATAGTTTTCAATGTGCAATTAATTGCTACTGTTTTGAATTTTATTTTGTTTTTTCCTTCCTTCTGGTCACACAACCTGCTGTTTTGAATAATAGTTTTCAGAGTAGGGAAAGGCGCAAGAGGGATTAGTTTGTGGAACCAAATGGATGGTGGCTCTGAAACGTTTGGGAACCCCTGTCTTAAAGAAAAGGTGTATGATAGAGGTGAATGAAATTATGAGCTGTGTGGAGACAGTGAATAGGGTTCTCTCTCTCTCTCTCTCTCTCTCTCTCTCTCTCTCATAGTTCTGGAACTCAAGAACATCCATTGAGGCTGAATTTTGGTAGATTTGGGACAAACTGATGGTGCGGAGAACGTGGATCCACTCTCATAATCACAGAACCCATTGGGGCTATCCATTGAATCTGAACGAATCTGGAATATTCAGGACCGACAAAAGAAAGCTCTTCTGCGCACAGAGTATAGTAGTGATAGCCACCAACTTGGACAGCTTTCAAAGAGGATTCCATAAATTCAGGGACCAAAGAGTATGACTGCATGACACAAGCCTTTAGGCAATGGTGTTAAGCAGATAATTTTGCTGCTACTGAATGTCAGGATGCTGTCAGCGGCTCCTGGCTAGTTGCCCAGGGAACTATTAAGACAAGGAAAAGTTTCTTACTGCCATTTTTTATTTCAGACTTTACAGAGAAAGGCTATACGATACGATAATCTATATTGTCATTGTCCCATACAGAACAACAAAATTGAAAAAATCTACATCAGACATTCAGAAACCCACAAGCCTGCTATCCCAGCTATCCCAGCCTGCTTAGCCCCCTAAAAACTCTGATACACCATAATTAAATACAATATACTCCCATAGAGACTATGGGTTTAAAACCAAAATTGCATTTGGATAGAAACTGTTTCTCAGATGGCTAGTCCTAGTCTTTATAACCCTGTACCTTCTTCCAGAAGGCAGAAGCTGAAAGAGATCATTTCCAGGGTGCGCACTATCCTGCACTATCTCTGCAGCTTTTTATGACACCTGGAAGCATAGATTTGATCCAAGGTAGGAAGAGTGCACCCAATTATTCTCTCCGCAGTCTTTACAACCCTGGACAGCATTGTTTTTTCCCTGGCTGTGCAGCTCCCAAATCACACACACAGACCATAAGTTAATACACTCTCAACAGTACAATGGTAAAATGCCATCAACAGGTCCTTTGAGAGAACCCAGCCTCTTGGATAATGGCGATGTCCCGGGTGAATCTCCACCCCCCCATCTCTCCCACTTCCTCGTCACTTCTACGGGTACCGCTAAGTGCCCTCTGTCTTTGAGCTCTTAGCTCTCCTACTTTTAAGGCTTGCCGGGTTCTGGGAGATGGAGGGTCTGGAATGCTTTCTAATGGCAACGTGTCAACTGGGTGTTGTTCTGGCTGTCCCACAATTTCCCAGCTTCCCCCTTCAACTACCTCTGAGCTGTGACCTCCCTCAAACCGCTTTTGTAAAGCTATATTGTCTTCCTTTCACTCCTCCCTGGAAGGGTCCGGATGGGGAGGCAGTCTCCACCATTCCTCCTCTGTCCAGTCCCTGAGACTGAATGAGGTTGTTTTGACCTAGGGAACAGGGACATCGGCCAAGTGTGGGTTAGTTTCACATGTCTCCCTTCAGAAGTCCATTCTGTTTCCTCATTCATTTGCATTTTTGTTAAAAAAGAAGTGAATATTTGTTTTATTTTATTTCTTTGGGAATATATATGGCTCAGTCAAAGAGCTATCTCTTGAGCATCTCCAGGTCAGACTAGGTCTTCCTTATGAAATAAAAAAATTAAGGTCATATATATATATAATAAATGTTCATAAATGTGCCAGTCTACCGCGCACATACATATAGGGACCACATATCTGGAGCAGCACAGGAAGACTGTCCTGAAATCATTTTGACTCCCAAACTGACCAAATGTTTGTTCTGCAAGGAGGGAGGGGGTGAGGGAACTTTCCCATTGTCTCAGGAATTAAGAAATCACCATCTCAAAGGAATAGCCAGACTACCAGGAAAGACAAGCAGATAAGGCATTATCAGATAACCTGGCAGACAGAAAAAACAACAACATTCAAATTTCTCTTGTAGACCACCTTTTCTGTGATGTAGGTATGATGTTTGTGTGGGGTAGTCTTGGGTTACACCCCTTCTGTGATGTATGTATGATGCATGGAGGGGTGGTCTTGAGCTCCAGAGCAGGGAATTTAAAATGCCTATATAAGAGCAGGCACACCTTGGTTCTGGGTCCTCCTCCTTTCCTGCATGTGAGGCGAGCACCTTATTGCAACAGTTCAATAAAGATCAGGCTTTGCGAGTTGCTTTGCTTCTCAATATTCTCTGGTTGGCCTCTGTTATTTTCGCCAACCGATGGAGAACCTACAAAGGACTCTATAAGGGCTCTTGTGTTCCCCATAAGGGAATAAGGGCAGATTTTTGTTTATTACACTTACATCCTTGTGCTTGACTGAAGGGAAGGTAGAGAGGGGTTTGTGGGTGAAATGAGCCTATGGGGCAAAGATAACACAGGACAGGAAAATCAATACCATACATTTAAAGTACATTCAATGTGCATTTAAAGCAAATGAAAAAAAGGCAAAAATTAAACACTATTATAAATCTAGAAGTGGAAGGAAACAACATACAGAACCCGGTCGAGATTAGAAATTGTTTCCAGAGGTACTTTAAACAATTATATACACAAGGGCCACAGAAAGAAATTGATATAGATAGATTTTTGAAAATAAATGGATTACAAAAAAATATCTCAAGGAAATAAATTAATGTTGAACTTTAAAATAACAGAACAGGAGGTAGAAGGTGCCATTCAGAATATGCAATTAGGTAAGTCTCCAGGACCGGACGGACTGACTTCTAGATACTACAGATCTTTGAAAGAATGGTTAGTACAACCTCTAAAGGAAGTCTGTAATGAAATATTGGAAGGGAAAAGGGCACCAGAGTCGTGGAAGGAAGCGTATATCACACTTATACCGAAAACAGAGACTGAAAAGAAGCAGCTCTAGAACTACCGCCCCATATCACTGCTTAATGTGGATTATAAAATCTTTGCAGATATTTTGGCTAAAAGACTAAAAAAAGTGCTAGTGGAAGAGATTCATAAAGATCAAGCAGGCTTTCTCCCGGGTAGACACTTGTCTGACAATATGAGAAACATAATTAATATTTTAGAAAAATTACAAGTGAATATTAATACCAAGGCAGTTTTGATATTTGTGGACGCGGAGAAAGCTTTTGACAATATTTCTTGGAGCTTTATGAAGAAGAACCTACAGGGGATGGGGGTAGGTCAAGGTTTTGGAAATGGTATAAGTGCAATTTATTCAGAACAAAAGGCTAAATTAATTGTTAATAACGTGGTGACGGAGGAATTTAAGATAGAAAAAGG